TCCATGCATGGTAGTCTCTCTCTTTAATGATAGATGATCTGTGAAATACTGTACCTTTAAAACGCAGGATACATGCTACTTTCCTCTAGTCCCCCTTTTCTTTTCTTTTTCTTTTTTTATTTTTTTCGGGATAAGCAAAACGATATACACTATTTTTCTTCAACTTCTGCGTCATTCTCCGTGGAAAAATTTCTGATTAGTTCTTCTGGTTGTCTGATCTGGCTTGAAGTATGTTATCTTTCTATGCACTCCTATTATGCAATGCATCTTACTATCGTTTCACTTCACCATATTCTTTTTTTTATGATTGAGAAATCTATCTGGAGTTGACCTTTTGGGCCACCCGCAGCCTNGACTTAAGATACAAGTCCCTCAACCTTTACAAATTGAGCTAAACCCCTGACGGCCACCACACTTTGTAGATATGGTTGTATTGCCTATTCTGTAATGTGATATGAGGACAAAGTAGAATAATAGATAGCTCAGATCTATCCAATACAAATTAGCCAATAATACCAAAAGGTAGCATTTAGTTTTCAGAAGGTATTCGGACTTGTGATCTATGAATATTTTTATTTCCACCATTAAGTAGTTTCCTACCTACCTCTAATCTCTTGTAACAACTACAGGATGCCTTAATGGAAAAGCTTCAGTACCTTTCCTAAGTTAATTCCTGTGCAGTACTGATTGTATAATAACCAAACACAGTAATATTGCTCGGAAAAGAATTAGATGAATTTCTTATCACCTGTTCATGAAAACCTCATTCACTTATTTTTACCATTCTCAAACAAAAAAGAACCTCTATTCACTTAATCTTGCGGAAGCATGGTCCGCTAGGATCTTTGATCTCGGTACACTTAATGTCCAACACAGATGACTTTTGTGCTTCATTCCTAATTCATGTGAGAGTGGTAATGGGAAAAAGTTGGAAAACAAATATGCTGTACAAGTCATAAGCATGACTTATTTCTCTTGAATACTATCACTCTACACTGTTCAGTTGCCTGTTGTGCATAGGCTAGTGAAAAAGGGCAGCCCGGTGCATAGGCTAGTGAGACAGCATTTTCAAAATTCTCTTTTCTTTCATTTAAGGCCTTCAATTTGAGGACAGTTAAACAGCTAAGCTAGAATAGGAGTAGCAGCAGCAGAATTGACTGGAAGAAGAGGGTGTAAGATGTGAACTGAACCTCCTTTTTTGGAAATATTTTGTGGAAGTCTGATATTGGAGCGGTAGCAATGGAAGCCAAAAGGAGGAGAGAATAATGTTGGGTCAGGCTTAATTTGGATAAATTACTCAGTTAAAGGGGGTTTTGTACTAATTTATCAACAAATTAAATAATATTTGATTAATAATGCAATTTTTACTTGTAGCACAGAATAAATAGCTCCTCTAGATAACAAAGGAAGAAGATTTGATTCAGATTATGTGGCTACAAATTGGGGCACCAAAGTATGTGGCCTGATGGTCAATGAAGTGGGTGCAAACCTTAGAAACCATTGTTTAAATCCCATCTACTTAAGCCTTGGTGAGTAGAGTAACTAGGTACCTGTGTTAGTAGGAGGTGGCAAGTAATGGGTGTAATAGTCAAGGTGCATGCAAGTAGCGAGCTCAATGTAAAGTATTACTGTGGCTAACTTGGGGAGCATTTGAAGTGGTGTAAGGAGTGGATGATTGTATTACAGAGAACATTGATTATGATAATTCAATGGAGATATTGCAAAAGTAGGTTTATTTTCAGTTGAAGCTTCGATAAATTCATGACAATGTATCTTATGTAAAAAGAATTAATAGAAATAAAAACATACCTTGTGTAAGTTACTTTGAGAAAGCCATGCTGTCGTGTTATCCTTAAGGAAGGTGAAACTCTGGTGATGGATTGTTAAGGGGACGTACAAATCTTTGTCTATGCTTGAGTAATAATAGTGCTGTGTTACATAAAGAATGATAGACTTTTCAGTAAAGTGGAACTGAAGCCGGGCAGTTTAGCCGCATGTTGATGCATGTTGCTTTATGTTGGGTGATGTGCTGCTTGGAGCTAGCTCACCTTTTGGTCCCTCTACTAACAGACCAAAAGATTATGTGTCAGTTAATCGAAGGTTAAATATGCTTAGTGGGATTAAGAACGTCAGGATTGGGACATTGTGTAAATTGAGGAAGCAAAAGTGCAATTTCCTCTTCTAATTCTTCTTCTGGTTATGTCTTCTTATCCTCATCCTCTTTAATTTTTTTATTTTCTTTTTCAATTATTGATTCTTAACTTCGCATGACTAATTCCTATGTCGTAAAACTAAAGATTGCTGTATATAGAAGTTCCTTCCTTTATATTTATTTTGGTTTTTTAATATGGATGAACGTTTCAAGGCTCTTCAGAAAAATCAGTTATTTGATGTTTCCACAATGAGTTGGTGGACATATTTGATTGACAGATATTCTTTTTGTGAACTCATAGAATGTTTAGAATGAGAAGAAGATCAGGAGCTTGAGTCGTGTGTTTATCATGTTGCTGCGGGATTTAATTTGGAAAAAACCTGTATACCTTTATCACGAAAAAAAAAACTTGTATACTAACATTCTGAATATACTTTTACTTTGCTTGCTCTGATTAATGTTCAAATTTGCCAATTCAGAAGACTTAGTGTTTGTGTTCACTATAGGTGGCAGAAAGGGCTTTATTTTTGTGGAACAACGATCACATTGAGAATTTGATAAAGCAAAATCGAAAGGTGATACTGCCTATCATCTTTCCTGCACTGGAGAGAAATGCCAGAAACCATTGGAATCAGGCTGTTCACAGTTTGTCACTGAATATTCGGAAGATATTCTATGATCTTGATCCTGATCTATTCAAGGAGTGCTTGCACAAGTTTCAGGAGGACGAATTGAAGGAAGATGAGATTAAGTCAAGACGTGAAGCTACATGGAAACGATTAGAAGATGTTGCTGCCAAAAATTCTACAAGTACTGAAGCTGTGCTTGTGCCGTCCACTGGGCGTTCTCGAACTTAATATTAAGATATGCTTGTTCTTCCTTGTTCTTCATTTTGATATTTCTGGTTAGTTTACATTTCGGAAGCAGTGAATTTATTAAAGGGAGAAGGGATTTTTTGTGTCATTGGCTTTTTCCCCCTGGTCAGTTTCATCCTGGTAGCTGTAGTTGTAACTCTAATTTGTTTATATATGTGTTAACTTTGGCAATCTGGAAATGATATGGGAGCAAGTACGTTTATCAATCATTATACTTGTTTGAAATATTTGCCGTGTCTATTGTTTTGGTAAAGTTTTGGCAAATACCACTCTTCAACAAATGCTTATAGTAATTCTTAAGATTAGGGATAGAACATAAGTTGTGGTAAGTTTGGCATTTTGTTCAAGAGAGTCTTTGCATATATTATATTACAAATTACAAATAGAAAAGCTACAGAAGCTGATGGTAATAGTAGATTGATTAGTCACATATGTTTTAGTCTGATTGGAAAATCACAAAGGTAAATTGATAATGGAAGAATGTGAGTTAAAGCTGGAACGAACATTGTAGGCTGCAGCCAATCATGTAGCATCAAGCTTTTATTTGTTTGTTTGTTCCTCATTTGGTTTTTTAGTGAAAGCTCAAGGATTCCAGCAAATGGTTGAGGTTCTGTGTATAACTAACTAGGCGGCTGGAAGTACATTAGTAAGCATTAACTGGCTTCTAGGAGAAATGAACCAAAAGCTACATGATGTGTTCAATTACTATGTACTACAAACTTTTTGCATTTTTTCTTATACTCTCTCATTTACTTCTTAAAATCTTTAATATATTGTTTTTTCTAGTTAAATATTAAACTTTTCTCATACATTTGACCCATAAATTGAAAGAAATTATATATTGTTCTGTTTGAGGGAGTTTCTTGTTGAGCAGTTTACCTTTATTAGAATTACTAGAGTGGTGTTAATTGCAATTGATTCTGTCTGAAGTGTGTTTGAGTATAAAGAACAACCTGTTCCTTTTTGTATGTCTCTTTAGGTTCATCCAAAGTTATTTCGAAAAATATGTTTCTAAACAACGGACTGTTTTCACCTAAAGTTTATGCACAACCTAATTCACCTTCCTCTTAATTCGGTCTTATATATTGCAAAGCCTTTGCCATGAGAGTAGAGGATCTTTTGGCATTCTTAAGACCTTCTAGGCAGGGGCGGAGCTAAAGCCTAAAGGGAGGCAAGGGAATTCAATTGAATCCCCTTTGCCGGAATATTGTACTGCGCAAATAGAGCAAAAATGATTTCTTTTGGTTATATATGAATTGTCGAATCCCTTTTACATTAGGGGAGATCTTAGTGTAGTGGCAAATGGCATTAAGAAATTGCTTTAAATAATAGGTTCAGATCTTAGGTGTGATACTCTAATAATGTTTTTTGAAATCCCTCGTATGAATTTCAGGCTCTAGAGCTTAATTTGGTGGTAGACGTAGGAGTTGGATGGTGTGTTCATCAATGTATAAAGTTGACCAAAAAGATAAAAATAAACAAACTTCCAACATTATAACATATGGAAGGATTAAAAGCAGCAGTATGTATAAGTGTAAATGTCTATACTAGAAAGTGTAGAAATCCACCAAATTCCAGGTTCAGTCACTACACCAAGAAAGCAATTCCTTATCAGCTTCAAATCTGGCCATGTCTTCTTCTTTGAGATTTACCCAGGCTTCTATACCATTACCTGATTTTGTGTCTAGAAAACCAATAACATTCTTGAGAACAAGGCTAGCTGATCCTACCCATATCGGTTGTCCCCAGCCAAAATCAGCTTCATATAGAGGAAATCTGCACAAACTAGTAAAGTTGAACAATACTAGGCCACCTTTCCTCTGCTCATTTGCTTTCACTTTGATAAAACTCAAGTGCTTGTCATCATTAATCTTCTGGAGACCTGAGACAAATTCACTATTTGCGTTGTGTATACCTTCTCTCACTTGTTTCACTAGCTCAAAACCTTGTTCCTCATCACTAATATTATGATCCAGAGATGGTATTGTAACGACTACTTGCATTACATTCCCGAATAAAGATTCAGGCAACGGAGGATTACTTCTGGTACGTAAGTTCAGTGTATGGACTATGCCATAATTCTTGTTTTCATCTCTTTTGCGATGAATACTTGCCATCAAACGAGTCCATAAGAAAGTTGATAAAGCTTCAATCCTCGAGGGAGGTCTCGTATTTTCAGTATACTTATCTTTAAGTGCTGATACTTTAGAGGCAGAGAATACAAACCTTTTAGTCACAATGGTATCCTTCCCGATTGTGATGCTTGATTTTAACTCTGATGTATCTCTTTGTGGAAATAGTATGGAAGAATTAAATCTTGGACTAGGAACATTGGTATTCCCTCTTGCAATAGCTCCCCAACAATTGATAAACATGAAAGTTGACATTGCATCAGCTAACTTATGAGAAATGGCTATACCAATAGCCATTCCTCCACACTCAAAAAAGTTTGCTTGGACTAGTAAGAAGAAATCTTTAACATCATGTAACTTACAAGGGATGAACTTGTTGAGTTCTTTAGGAACTGGATCAAGAAGGAAATCTGAGAGACTGCATTTGGCTATGGCTTCTATATATGGAATGCCCTCGTCGTTGCAATTGACATGAGAATTGGCCTCTAGACGGCCGCTAAGAGGGTAGAATCTGGTTAACACATGTGATAAAGATTTCTTGAGCTGATTTGATCTCTGTGTGTTTGTGAGGTTATTGTCTGCTGCATAGAAAAAAACTAGGGGCATCAAAATATTTGGAGCAATTTGATCAAGATATGAGAGCTGGTAATGGTGAAGGTCATCTGGGGTTGGTGAAGATGGTTTGATTGTCATTTTGGAGATAATTTCTATATCAACCTTCTTTCTTTCTTGTAAAGTGTAACCTAAAGAGGCAAAGCTCTTATTAGGAGTCTTTTTTCTTGATAAACTGACAATGGTTACTGAGGACATAAATAAGACCAGGTTAAGTTATCTATAAGAATAAATATATTATTAAAGAAAGAATTTAACTTTTATACTGACTTTTTTACATTGAAACACAAAAGATGATTATAGGTAACCTGTTCATAATGAGTGGATCTAGAAAATAAGATAGATAGCATGCTATTTATAATGTAAATATTTTTTACATCGTTAATGTATATAAATTAAATTCTTAAAGAAAACAGCATTTTGCCGTTCTCTGATTCTCTCCTCTATGGAGTCTTCAGGTTTTTAGCTCATAATTATATTTTGTGGCCGTTGTGGCACTAAATAGATGATCACAACTTGATTTGAAGATTAATACATAAAGATGGCGATATATTTCAATTTAATAAAAACACCTTATTTTATTAGAGCAACATATACTAGTCGGCCAAAAAATACACAAGAAGTCGAAGACAGTCATGCCGAATTGCCAATATATAAAACATAGCAGGCCAACCATGGATGACGATAGCAATTCAAAAATGTGCATATTTGGTCTTTCCTTCTTCTTTTTTTGTGAATAAACCACAGCAGGCAAACCATTGCGCATTATCCAAAATGCTCATTTTTCCATTTTCTTTTTTTTGCAAAAAAGAAAATAAATTAACTTCATTGAATATAGCTTCAAGATTATCTTATATTGGTGGACCTCTTGATATGAGCCTATGGATTGAGTTGATACATTTTCCATGCATTAATCTTTTATTTAATAAATTAAAAGCCTATGAATTGACCTCTAACGCATCCTAATTTTAATAATGTTGTGATAGACATTGAGTCATTGAGTTAATACTTACTGTAACACATTTGAGAAAAGAAGAATTCAGAATCCACCTATTTACTCTACATGCCTACATATGGATGTTTTGTTCTTTGTTTTCTTTCTTTCATCACTCAACAATTTTTAATCTCTCGTCAATAGGTCACACGGCTTAATTTCACATATTTATGACGAATAAATTTTGTACACTTCATGACGAATATAAGTAAAACAAACAATCACAGAATTGAAACTAGAAATACATGCATAGATAATTTGCCAAAACTCGAATAAGCTTTAAATCCAGAAATTTAACCAAACGCAAGCAACTCATTATCAACTTCAAATTTAGCAATATCTTCACCCTTTGGAATGTCCCAAGCTTTTATGCCATCATCTGATCATCTTGTGCCAATAAACACAATTATACTATAAGGGATTATTTGCACCCGATGGCCTTTTTTGAGGCCGCTCTATGAATTCTGTCCCGTTAATCCAGTTAGTAGAATCGCGCTTCAAAATGCATTTGCACATAACCTTTTTTGAGGCCTCTATTTAAATTCAAAAAAGGCCATTTGTGCAACTGTCCTGAAAGTAAAGATCTGCTGATCCTGCCCAAGTTGGCTCATCTCATCCATATAATCAATCTCATAAAGTGGAAATCTCCAGAGATCCTAGACGTATTCAGAATTTAAATTTAGTAGGTCCAATAACCTTTCAAAATGTTTGCCTTAAAAAAGACCTTCAAAATGTTAGCACTGAACCTATTGTGTTTTTAATATTATGTGCTCAAATATTAAAGGTTTAGTGATTTTTTACATATTTATAATTTTTGTATCGAAAATATTGAATTTGAAATAAAACAATAAAGAAAAAAAGAATATTGCAAAGAAAGAGGGAGAGAATTCTATTGAATTTGAGATGAGTTACAATGAGGTAAAACTCCTCTATTTATAGAAAAAAATGACTTAGTCACAAAGTAACAAACTCTCTAAAAAATAGATATTTACCTAGAATACAATTCTATTTATAACACTTCCCTCTGAATGTCTATTCAACAGATAACGTGCCTCGTTAAAACCTTAACAAAAATAAAATCCAGTGAAAAAAAATTCTAGTGAAAGAAAAAGAGTACACATGTTTAGAAATACGCCTTTTGGTTGTCTCGTTAAAAACCTTGTAAGAAAAATCAAGTGGGATAATGTAACGACCCGACCAGTCGTTTTGGGATTTAGCGTTCCGTTCAGTGGTTCGAGGTCTTGGGTGGCTTCATATTGTGTGTCATGACTTGCGTGCATGGTCGGATTCTATTTTCGGATGTTTCGGGATTTATTTGGATGAGTGATCCTCATTTTAGAAGCTTAAGTTGAAAATGTTGACCGAAGTTTGACTTTTGTGAATTTGATGTCGGATTGTAGTTTTTATGGTTCCGTTAGGTCTGGATGGTGATTTTGGACTCGGACGTATGCCCAAATTTGCATTTAGATGTTTCTAGAAGGTTTTGGTACTATTTGATGAAAATTGACAATTTGAAGGTTTGGAAAGTTCGTAGGCTTGACCGGGAGTTGACTTCGGAGTTATCGGACTCAGATTGTTATTCTAGAAGTTGGAATATGTTCGTTGTGTCATTTGAACTTGTGTGTGAAATTTGAGGTGATTCTGAGTTGTTTAGAGGTTTTCGGTGTAAGTTTGGAATTTGAAAATTTGAAATAGTTCATTAAGCTTGAATTGAGGAGCGATTCGTGATTTTGATATTATGTTACGGGATTTGAGACCTCGAGTAGGTCCGTATTATATTTTGGGACTTGTTGGTATGATTTGACGGGGTCCCGAGGGGCTTGGCTTGGGTGTGTTTTAGATCATTGATTGAGAGACTAATTAAGTTAAGAAATTTGGAGTTTGACCATGGTCAATATCGGGTTAAGACAACATCTTTCCAATATTTTGAGTGCGGGAGCATGTTTGTATCATGTTTTATGATTGAAATGCATATACGACTTGTGTCCGGGAGGTTCCGGATGAGTTTCAGGGTAGTTTCGGATCATTTCGGTGAAGTTCGAGATTGCTGATGCTGGTACTTTGCAATTGCAAACTTTTTGTTGTAATTGCGAACTACTGCAATTGCGAACTTTTGGTCGCAATTTTGAATATGTGGTTGCAATTGTGAGACCCCAATTGTGAACATTCGCAATTGCGAACTTTTGGTCATATATGAGACATCTGCAGCTGGGTTAAGGGTTGGAATTTAGGGATTTTAGTTCATTCTTTCATATTTTGAACCCTAGACTCGGTAGGAGGCGATTTGGAGAGGGGATTTTCATCTACAATCATTGGGTAAGTGATTTTGATCATTTTCAGCTATTTTACATGATTATATATGAGAATTAACATCAGAATTTTGAGAATCAAATGGGAATTTTGAGAAACTTTGTCTATGTTTTAAAAAATAAAAATTTGGGATTTGAGAGTCGAATTGGACTCAGATTTTGAAACAAAATATATATATAGACTCATAGGGTTATGGGTAGTCGGAATCTACTTTTGGACCTGGATTTTGACCGGGCGAGCCTGGGGTTGACTTTTGTTGACTTTTGAGGAATTGTGCAAAGATCATAGCTTTATTTGTTAGAATTGATTTCTCTTGATTTATTTAATGTTATTAATTCGATTTGGTTAGATTTGTGCCGAGCGAAGGTGAATTGTAAAGGAAAAGCTATTTTGAGTATTGATTGAGGGCTTTTGAGCCAAGTATCTTACCTAACCTTGTGTGGGGGAACTACCCCGTAGGGATTGATTTTTTTTTTGCACTACTTGAACTACGTAAAGAGTGTACTCGAGGTGACGAGAGTGTACACAGCCTTATATATGACAATTTGACTGGTTTAGAGTCTTAGGTTTTCTATGCATACTAAATTGAAGTTGCTCTATCATGTTATGTCCTCCATTGTTAAATTCACTCTTATATGCTTTATTTGAAGTTGTTGGTTCATGTTATATATTTTATTGCCAAATATACTCATACATGCTTTAATTGTAATTGTTGCCTCTTTATTGTCATGTTATTTCTTTCATAGTTGATTTTTCTAGTTTGAAGTTCGTTGTTACATGTTATCTCTTCCATAGTTGATTATTTGTAATTGAAATCGATGTTACACATTGTCTATCTTATTGTTGAACTACTCTTACTTGAAGTCATCATTACTTATTATGTCTTTCATTATTGAGCTCATTCTTTTGTTTTCTCGTACTGTTGTAATTCTTGTGTTGATTTACTTTTCGTACCATCGTGTTATTGTTGTTCTTATTGTATTTGGTGTTGTTGAGCCGTAGGCTACGTGTGGTTGTTGTAATTAGAATTTTTGTTATGGAACGTTGTGGTATATGAGCACATGTGGTGCGAATTGTTATATTGTGTTGTTATATTTTTGGCACATGAAGTATTGTTGAGAGGATTGTCGGGGTGTTTGCACGTGAGTTGTCCGTGCTATTGTTATTATTGATATTTGCACATGCGACGTGATAAGGTGGGCTATATATATTAGGTTTGCACATGTGGCGAGACAAGGTGAGATAATTATTATGCACGTGTGGCGAGACAATGCGGGCATTCACTTTATTATTGCGCACGCGGCGAGACAAGAGGGGCTATGTCGGGGATGATTTGTGATGGCCTAGGGGCATTGTCAATTATTATATTTATGTGGTGGTGTGACTATCTTGTGTGAGTCATGCATATTTCGGATTTTTGTTGTGTTGTTCCAATGTGCTACACGGTGTCTCTGATTTTACCTGTTAACTTAAGCTGTGATAGTACACTTGCACAAAGCATACACTGTGGCATGTCACATATATCAGTCCAGGAGTATGAATCTTGATGTTTATTGCATGTATATATGTATTCTTGTATACCTGCCTTCTGTGCGTGGTTTGGACTGTTAGTACATGAGTTGTCCGTGCGGATATGAGGCATGGTTACTGTTGGCACGTGAGTTATTCGTGCAGATATGAGGTATTATTACTATTGGTATGTGAGTTGTCCGTGCATATATGAGGTACTAGTGGTATTGGCACATGAGTTATCCGTGCAGCACGTAAGTTGTCCGTG